CCACTTCCTTAACAATCTTTTCCAGAATCTTGCCTGGTATCGACGTGAGGCTGACCGGACGGTAGTTGTTTGAGGCTGACCGGACGGTAGTTGCTTCTTGAAGATTGGGACCCTTCTTTCATCCCTGCCTGCCTTCCAAACTTCTCCTCCTCCCTCCCTTCCGCTCTTCCTTCCTTCATCCCTCTCTTCCTTCATCCCTGCCTCCCTTCCACACTTCCTTCATCTCTTTCTTTCCTTCTCTCCCTCCTTCCTTCATACAAACATATTCATTTTCTGAATCAGCACCCCAAATAACCAAACCAAATTTAATGATAGCCAAAAACTGATTTGTCATCCTTATGGCACTAATGATGGAGTGCGGTCCCTGGTCAAGTGGGCCCTGATCAGAAAAAGGTTAGGAACCAAGGCACTAGACCAGTGGTTCTCAACCTTTCTAATGCTGTGACCCCTAAATACAGTTCCTCATGTTATGGTGACCCCCAAACATAAAATTATTTTTGTTGCTACTTTTACTACTCTTATGAATTGTAATGTAAATATCTGATATGCAGGATGTATTTTTATTGTTACAAATTGAACATACTTAAAGCATAGTGATTCATCACAAAAACAATATGTTTGGGGGAGTATGGACAATGGATGATGGGATTTGCAATACCTTCAACCGAATCAGCTCTGACTTCCACATACCACTGAGACCCCCACGAATTGTAGACCTGGACCAAACTTGGCACAGATAACCCTCATGACCAACAGAAAATACAGGAGGGGTTTGGGAGGAAGTGACAGTGATTTAGGGGAGATGTAGTTCATCTACATCCGGAGAGCACTGTGAACCCAAACAACTATGGATCTGGATAGGGACAGCCCTATGTAATTTACAAGTATTTTGCCCCCCCCCCCCCCCAAAAAAAAAAAACAGTAACTGCAAAATAAAAGCTAGAAAGTGACACAGCTGAATAAAACCCCACATTTTCTGCTTTGAACTGGGATATATGGCAGTGTGGACTGAGGTCCCTTCCACACAGCCCTATATCTCAGAATATTGAGGCAGAAAATCCCACATTATCTGATTGTGGACCCAGTTCAAAGCAGATATTGTGGGATGTTCTGCCTTGATATTCTGGGATACAGGGCTGTGTGGAAGGCCCTCAGATAACCCACTTCAAAGCAGATATTGTGGACGATCTGTCTTGATATTCTTGGTTATATGGCTGTATGGAAAGCCCCCACATATCCCAGTTCAAAGCTGATATTGTGGGATGTTCTGCCTTGATATTCTGGAATATAGGGCTGTGTGGAAGGCCCTCAGATAACCCACTTCAAAGCAGATATTGTGGACTATTTGTCTTGATATTCTTGGTTATATGGCTGTATGGAAAGCCCCCACATATCCCAGTTCAAAGCTGATATTGTGGGATTTTCTGCCTTGATATTCTGGGTTATATGCTTGTGTAGAAGGGCCCCAGTGATATTAGTTTATCCAACCAACTCCAGCTCGTTCTACACTGCCATATAAAATCCAGATTGTCTGCTTTGAACTGGATTATACGGCAGTTGGGAGTCATGTAATCCAGTTCAAACAGATAATGAGGATTATCTGATTTGATAATCTGGGGTTATATGGCAGTGTAGAAGGGGTCCAGCTCCCTAAACCAAACCGTGGCTCCTCTTGTCTTCACCCATAAATGATTCTCCATTAGAGAAAACAGGAGTCCCTGGAATATATTCTCAATATCTGTACAATTGCAGAAAGGCAAGCGGCCTGTCTCCTCTAATATATGACCCTGGCCAACAAACATTGTGGTGCCTCAAATGGTAGGCCTTTTCTGATGATTCCAAAAATGCCCCCAGTTTCCCTATCATAGAATATATGCCATCTGACGCCCCTTCTAGGCTTGGGCAATCCATGGTTCTAAATGGTTCTAAAGTACTTACAAAACTAAAGTTCTGGTGGTGAAAATTTCAGAACTCTAACAAAACTCTCAAAATTTCATAATAAATGGCAGTTCCTAATTGGTTCTGTCATTAAAATCACCAATAATGAAATAATAATTAAATTTTGAAAGTTTTGTTAGAGTTCAGAAATTTTCACCACCAGAACTTTAGTTTTGTAAGTACTTTAGAACCATTTAGAACCATGGATTGCCCAAGCCTAGCCCCTTCCACCCAGCTGAATAAAATCCCACATTATGTACTTTGAACTGTAATACATGACAGTGTGGACTCAGATAACCCAGTTCAAAGCAGGTATTGTGGGATTTTCTTCCTTGATTATATGACTGTGTGAAAGTGCCCAACCACTTGTTATCTGCTCACCCATAGAAAACCAGGTCAACCCTATCCGAGGGCCCTTCTACACAGCCATATGGCCCAGAACATTAAGGCATATAATCCACAATATCTGCTTTGAAGTGGAATATCTGAGCCCACACTGCCAGGTAACCCAGTTTATACGGTTGTGTGGAAGGGGCCTGATGCCTTTACTACACTGCCATATTCATTTATTTATTTATTTATTTATTTATGACATTTATATGCTGCCCTTCTCACCCTGAAGGGGACTCAGAGTGGCTTACAAGGTATATATTACATACAATATATTATATTATTAGCATAGTACAATATCAGCATTAAACATTGCTATATTGCACCATATCACTATATTGTAATATGATTAGTAATATTACATGTAATATAAATATATAATTATAATATATTATTATTGTTGTTGTTATATTGCATTACATTATAATATTATAAATATTATATGTATATACAATATATTATATATATATCATATAATATAATATCCAGATTATCTGCTTTGAACTAGATTTTATGGCAGAGTGGTCTCATATTTTATGGCAGAGTGGTCTCCCCCTACCTGTCCAGGGACGACCTAGCTATGGTGATCCAGGCCACGGTCATCTCAAGGCTGGACTACTGTAATGCCCTCTACATTGGCCTCCCTCTGTCGGTGATTCGGAAGCTCAAGTTGGTACAAAACGCAGCTGCTCGGCTTCTTGCGGGAACTCCGATGAGATGCCACATAACACCAATCTTACTACAGCTGCATTGGTTACCAATTGAGCACCGGATCACTTTCAAAGTGATGGTACTCACCTTTAAGGCCTTGCATGGTCTGGGGCCAATGTATCTGAGGGATCGTCTCACCCCCTACCAACCCCAGAGATCCCTCCGCTCTGAGGACCAAGATCTATTGGAAGTCCCCAGTGTCAAGACCTTGCGTCTAACGGCAACCAGACGCAGAGCCTTCACAGCAGTGGCGCCATCAGTCTGGAATGCTCTGCCACCTAAAGTTCCTGCCCTGCGGGACTTACCAGCTTTCCGCAGGGCATGTAAGACATACCTGTTCCGACAGGCTTTTAATGTTCGATACTGTTGTTTTTAAATTGTTTTAAATTGCTTTTAAACTTTGTTAGATTTTAGCTATTCTTGTAAGCCGCTCCGAGCCCCAGGGGAGTGGCGGCATATAAGTTTAAATAATAAATATAAATAAATAAATAAATAAAATATGATCCAGTTCAAAACAGATCATGGGATTATGTGCTTGGATAATCTGAATTATATAGTTGTGTAGATCCAGACAAATGCTGCTTCTGCTTCTACAGGGTCCTGTTTCCCAGAATCCGATTCCAGATTATCTTCTTGTTTATTTATTTACATTATTTCTATCCTGCCCTTATCAGCCCGAAGGCAACTCAGGGCGGTATACACAGTCGGCACAATTCGATGCCATAAAAATGCATACATTGATAAAGCAAAAACATTAAAGTGCGTTTAAACATAAAGACAGTGCATAATAACAATTTAAAAAGAACTATGTCCTCTCGTTCAAATCCTCATCCGTGCCATCGTCTTGGCCGTTCCTGGGTCATTTTCCAGTTTGTCTGTTTATTCCGGGGTTCCAAATGCTTGCTCGAAGAGCCAAGTTTTTACTCCCTTTTGAAAAGTCAGGAGGGAGGGGGCTGATCTAATATCCTTAGGCAGGGAGTTCCACAGCCCAGATTATGTGGCAGTGGAGAGTCATATGATTCAGTTCAAAGCAGGAAATCTGGGATCAGGTTTTGGGACATAGGGCAGTGTAGATCCAGCCTAAGAAACTAGGGCCCCTTCTAGACTGCCATATAAAGTGCAGGTTATCTGCTTTGAACTGGATTATTTGGCATTGTAGACTCTGGGCCCTTCCAGTCAGTTGGCACTTCCAGATAATATGAGATAAACAGAATGCCTGGGATCAGATCCTGGGATATAGGACCTATCTGGACGGGCCCTCATATGATCCAGTTCAAAGCAGATATTGTGGATTATCTGCTTTGACTATCGGGATTATATGGTCGAAGGGACCTAGAATGAATGTGCTCCATGCAGTGCAGTTTTCTGAATCAGTGCCCCAAATAAATCCAGGAACAAGCATAAAAGTGAAGAGATTTAAGATTTTTTTTGTGGTTGGGCCATAGAACTATTTATTTATTATTAAAATAATTATCCTTGTAATTTAATTATAATTAAGGTAGATCATCTGCTGCACTTGCAAGAATTGGGGGTGGCACTTTTTCTAGGCACTAGATTACAGGTTTTCCTCTCAGGCCCCTTTTACACTGCCATATAATACAGATTATCAAAGCAGATATTCCACAATATCTGGGTTATTGACAGATTAGAGAGATGGGCCAAAACTAACAAAATGAAGTTCAACAGTGACAAATGCAAGATACTCCACTTTGGCAGAAAAAACGAAATGCAAAGATACAGAATGGGGGACGATGCCTGGCTCGAGAGCAGTATATGTGAAAAAGATCTTGGAGTCCTCGTGGGGAAGAAAGAAAACATGAGCCAACAGTGAGATGTGGCGGCAAAAAAAGCCAATGGGATCTTGGCCTGCATCAATAGGAGCATAGTGTCTAGATCTAGGGAAGTCATGCTACCCCTCTATTCTGCCTTGGTTAGACCACACCTGGAATATTGTGTCCAATTCTGGGCACCACAATTCAAGAGAGATATTGACAAGCTGGAATGTGTCCAGAGGAGGGCAACGAAAGTGATCAAGGGCCTGGAGAACAAGCCCTACGAGGAGCGGCTTAGGGAACTGGGCATGTTTAGCCTGAAGAAGAGAAGGCTGAGAGGGGATATGATAGCCATGTATAACTATGTGAGAGGAAGCCACAGGGAGGAGGGAGCAAGCTTGTTTTCTGATTCTCTGGAGACTAGTACGCAATGGAACAATGGCTTCAAACTACAGGAGAGGAGATTCCATCTGAACATGAGGAAGAACTTCCTGACTGTGAGAGCCGTTCAGCAGTGGAACTCTCTGCCCCGGAGTGTGGTGGAGGCTCCTTCTTTGGAAGCTTTTAAACAGAGGCTGGATGGCCATCTGTCAGGGGTGATTTGAATGCAATATTCCTGCTTCTTGGCAGAATGGGGTTGGACTGGATGGCCCATGAGGTCTCTTCCAATTCTTTGATTCTATGATTCTATGAAATAATCCAATTCTTTTTTAAAAAATATTATCTTTATTAATTTTTCTATAAATACATATTATTAAAAGTTTCAGGGTAGAAATTAGAATAGAAAAGAGAAAGAGATGTGTTAAAAGCCAGAAAAGAAGGGGGGGGGGGGAGGCAGTGTGTGCGTAAATAAGACAAGAGGGTGTGTTAAAAGCATTACGAAACAAAGATCATAGAATTCATTCCTCTTTCGGTCTAACTTCCCGGTGTCTTCGACGAGGTTTTCCTTTTCTTTCTTCTTTAAGTTTCCTTCCTTTTCTGTCTTCCGTTCTTTGGTTTATGAGGTAGAGTTTCTCTTTTATCTTTCCTAATTGTTTTATTCTCTTTAAAGTATTCATTTATCGATGTCCAATCTGTCTCTTCTTTCTCTGTTCTTTGTACTTCCTTTGTACTTCTGTATTAAATAACTTAGTCTGTCCATGTTTCTCACTTCCATGAATTTCATTTCCCAATCCTCTATCTTTGGCGTATCTTCCTTTCGCCATTTTCTGGCATAGCATATTCTTGCCGCCGTTGTGGCGAGAAATAAAAGTTTGTCTTTATTGTGTTCCATTTTCTCGCCTGTGATTCCTAGTAAATAGATTTCAGGGCGGAGTGGAATATTAATCTTCAGTATCTTCTGTAGTTTCCCTGGTATTTCTTTCCAATATGTTTTATTTATTTATTTTATTACTGGTGCTTTTACCCCGCCCTTCTCAGCCCCCGGAGGGGGACTCAGGGCGGCCTACAAAAAAGGCAGAATTCGATGCCTATACATAATAATACATAGTATACAAAAATATAAAAGAACGATATACAAAATGTAATTAAAACGATTATCACAATAAAACATCAGCACTGGTACCTAAGACATTGTATAAACATCATATAAAAACATCATATAAAAGTCATTCTTATAATCAGCGTTTCGTTTCCAGAGTTCCACATAACCAATCCGTTAGTCATTTCCTAGCCATCAATGGACTTCTTTATTTACCCGCTTATCCAAATGCCTGGTCCCAGATCCATGTTTTTAGTTTTTTCCTGAAAGAAAGGAGCGTAGTTGCAGATCTGATTTCCCCGGGGAGAGAATTCCATAGGCAGGGGGCCACCACCGAGAAGGCCCTGCTCCCCGTCCCCGCCAATCTCACCTGTGATAGAGGCGGGGTCGAGAGCAGGACCTCCCCAGAAGATCTTAGGCTCTGGGGTGGGACGTAGAGGGAGATCCGTTTGGACAGATACACTGGGCCAGAACCGTATAGGATTTTATAGGTCAAAACCAGCACCTTGAATTGTGCTCGGAACTGGATTGGCAGCCAGTGGAGCTGACACAACAGGGGGGTGGTATGCTCCCTGTATGACGCCCCGGTGAGCAATCTGGCTGCCTCTCGCTGGACTAGTTGGAGTTTCCGAGCAGTCTTCAAAGGCAACCCAACGTAGAGTGCGTTGCAGTAATCTAATCGGGATGTAACAAGAGCGTGGACCACCGTTTTGACCTTCTTATAGTGCCACCACATATGGTAGAATGTGCCTTCTGTTTCCCCGCACTTCCAACATTTTGTGTTGAGATTTTTATAATACTTCCCTAATTTTTGCGGGGTCAAATGCCACCTGTAAAACAATTTGACCCAAAATTCAAGTCATAGGCCCTTATATATTTTAGTTTTTTCGTCCAAATCGCTTCCCATTCCACTAATCCTATTGATCTTCCAATATTCCTTGCCCATTTTACCATACATTCTTTAATTCTTTCTTCGTCTGTACTCCATTCTAGTCGTCTTTTATATATGAGAGGGATTGTTTTTTCCCCTGATTTTCATTATTTTGTCCCAGGTGTTTTCTTCTGGCATAAATCCTGCTTTCTTATCCATTGTAAAGTATTCATGCAATTGTCTATATTGAAGCCATGTTGCATTCAGATAGGATTGTTTTATTTCTTGTTGTGTTTTTAGATTGAATTCCTCCTCCCCTTTAGTTTTTGATTTCCTTATAGCTTGGCCACATTATCCAACCTAATTCTCTCCCCTGGCATGCTTCCAGGGGGGAAACCCATAAAGGTGTTTTATTATATATTCTTTCTTTGTATTTTCCCCATGTTTTTATAATGGCCGCTCCAATGAAATGATTTCCCTTTTTTTTTTAAATTTTTGTTTTCTCATACCACATATAAGCATGCCATCCCCTCCTCAAATCAAATCCTTCTAAATTCAACAATATTTCATTTTTTAATTTTATCCAATCTAAAGCCCAAGTTAGGGCGCACGCCTCTGTGTATAATCCTAGGTTCGGCATTGCTAGGCCTCCTCTTTTCTTTTCGTCCGTCATATTTTTAAATTTTATTCTAGCTTTTCTGTTTTGCAAAATAAATCTTCTAATGTCTTTATTGCTTTCTTTTATGCCTTTCTGATCTCTTATTATTGGGAGATTCTGGAATAAAAACAGCATTTTTGGGAGAACATTAATCTTTATACTCGCAATTCTGCCCATTAATGATAACTTCCATTTTTCTAAATCTTTCTTTATCTCTTTCCACTTCGCTATGTAGTTATTTTGTAATAATGTTGCATTTTTTTGGTGTTATGGTAATTCCTAAGTATTTTATCTTTGGTACAATTCTTATGTTCCATTTTTCTTTGATTATTTCCAAAAAATTTCCTTGATATGTTTTTTGTTATTGCTTCCGTTTTTTTGATATTTGGAAAAGTGGCGGGCTTCAAATTAAATATCGCCAAATAATCCAGTTCAATGTGGATTTTATACAAATGTGTGGAAGGGGCCTGAGAAAGCAGTTAATGTCTTCCTTCCACACTAAAGCCGAAGACCTCACCTACACTGCCATATAAAGTCCAGATTATCTGCTTCGAGCTGGACTATATCGCAGTGTAGACTCCTATAATCCAGTTCAAAGCAAATATTGGCCTCTTTTCTCTGTAGCCCCTTCTGCATTGCCATTTAACCCAGATTATCCAAGCAGATAATCCGCATTATCTGCCTTGAGCTGGGTTACATGAGGTTGGATCTACACTGCATTATACAATCCATATTATCTACTTTGAACTGGATTATATGGCAGTATAGACTCATAAAATCCAGTTCAAAGCAGATAAAGTTGATTATCTGTCTTGATATTCTTGGATATACAGTTGTGTGGAAGAGTAGGGAAGGTAACAAGACACACCACTCAATTACAGAGTGATGATTCCACTTTTAACTCTCGTGGTTCAACAATATGGAACTCTGGGATGTACCGTTTAGGGGAGGGGGCATTGGGGCACTCAGGCTCCTTCCACACAGCTGATTAAATCCCACATGAACTGCTTTGAACTGCAATACATGGTGTTGTGGAATCAGGAGAAGAGGAGGACCCCACCTTGCCGCCCCATTGGCCCAGCCCAGTGCTTCTTGCCCTTCTACTCTCTGTATCCCCAGCATCTGTTTCCCTCCCAGGTTGGTTAGAGCAGGCCTGGGCCAACTTGGGCCCTCCCACCAGGTGTTTTGGACTCCAACAGCTATTAGGAATGGTGGGAGTGGGAGTCCAAAACACCTGGAGGGAGGGCCCAAGTTGGCCCAGGCCTGGGTTAGAAAGTTCCTGAGCATATGCAGAGTGCAGGAGCAATGAATAAGGGGAGTGGGGGTATTGGGCACTTTTTTCAAATGGGATCTTCTTCAGGAGTACTGTGGCTTTCTTTCCCCACTCCTAAGGAAGAAAACCCCAAGGCTGCCTCCACACTGCAGAATTAACCCAGTTTGGCACCATTTGCATGGATGTTGTGGAATCCTGGTGCTGCTCTTCCAGTCAGAAATAAGTTTTTGAAGTTTTTTGCTGCTACTGTTCTCTCACCCGGTGGCTGCGGAGAGCGAGGATGAGGAAGCGGAGCTGGATCTGAATGGAGGGAGTGAAGGAAGGAGGGAAGGAAGGAAAGAAAAGGAAGGGAAGAAATGGGAAAGATGGGAACTTGTCACCAGGCAATGGGAACCTTCCCTCTTCCTCTTGGTTTGCTACAGCACTAGACTTATTCTTTGTGTTCCATGAGATCTTTCCCTGTTCAACTCTTGAAGAGATTTTTCCTCTCATTTGTCTGGCAGGTAACTTCTGAACAAGTTCTGAGAAGTACACCTTGTGAGAGCTTTGCCCGAGGAGTGCTATAAGTCCAAAGTGACCTCAAGATACACAGAAATGACAAGAAAAAAAAAGTTCTAGAAAAATACATTTCAAGAGGCATACCTGTGGAATTAAGGGGGGAGGAAATAAGATTGTGCTGAAAAAAGAGAGGCCTGGGAAAGCGAGCAGAAGGCTACAGCAATACAAAAACTGTACTGTTCACAAAGTTATATCTGTGAACCCTGGCATCATGTTTGAATTATAAATGTTAAAAAATGGCAAGTCCTCTGTCTCCCTATCCTAGATCAGACACAGGGAAGAAGTTACATCAGTGTTTGGAATGTGGAAAACAATTTGATAGGAAAAGCTCTCTTGCTGTACATGAACGGACCCACACAGGGGAAAAACCATATAAATGCATGGAATGTGGAGAAAGCTTCAGTCGCGGTGACAGTTTACGGTCCCATCAAAGGACTCACACAGGGGAGAAGCCATATAAATGCATGGAATGTGGAAAGAGCTTTAGTCACAGTGGCAATCTACGTTCCCATCAAAGGACCCACACAGGGGAGAAGCCATATAAATGCATGGAATGTGGAGAAAGCTTCAGTCAGAGCGGCAGTTTACATTCCCATCTAAGGACCCACACAGGGGAGAAGCCATATAAATGCACGGAGTGTGGAGAAAGCTTCAGTCGCTGTGATAGTCTACGTTCCCATCAAAGGACCCACACAGGGGAGAAGCCACATAAATGCATGGAATGTGGAGAAAGCTTCAGTTGCAGTGGCAGTCTACGTTTCCATCAAAGGATCCACACAGGGGAGAAGCCATATAAATGTATGGAATGTGGAAAGAGCTTCAGTCACAGTTGCACTCTACGTTCCCATCAAAGGATCCACACAGGGGAGAAGCCATATAAATGCATGGAATGTGGAGAAAGTTTCAGTCAACGTGGAAATCTACGTTCCCATCTAAGGACCCACACAGGGGAGAAGCCATATAAATGCATGGAATGTGGAGAAAGTTTCAGTCAACGTGGAAATCTACGTTCCCATCTAAGGACCCACACAGGGGAGAAGCCATATAAATGCATGGAATGTGAAGAAAGTTTCAGTCAGAGTTGCAGTCTACGTTCCCATCATTGGATCCACACAGGGGAGAAGCCACATAAATGCTTTGAATGTGGAGAAAGCTTCACTCGCAGTGACAATCTACGTTCCCATCAAAGGACGCACACAGGGGAGAAGCCCTATAAATGCATGGAATGTGGAAAGAACTTCAGTCGCAGTAAAACTCTGCGTATCCATCTAAGGACACACACAGGGGAGAAACCACATAAATGCATGGAATGTGGAAAGAGCTTCAGTCGCAGTGACAAACTACATTCCCATCAAAGGACCCACACAGGAGAGAAGCCATAGAATTGCATAGAATGGGGAAAGAGCTTCGGTTTGCGTGGCATTGGTCGACGGATAGTGGGAGCAGGTCTCACTCAGAGGGGCACTTTTCTCAGTATTGCAGCAAGCTTCCAAGGGATTCACCTAACCTCTTCTACAAGGAAATCCATCAATGGCTTCTAGGATGATCTGTGAAGGTTTGCTGAAATGAACAGCAGCTGAGATCTCTGGATAAAAGGGTTCTGAAAAAGAATAACTCTTTGGTGGAAGATAACGTCCTATATTCATACTTTTGACTCATGTCTTTGTTCTACTGCCCCTCAATTACAATTTTGGGCTCCAGCCATGGACCTGTATCCCTTTTCTGGACTTTGTTGCATCCTTAATCATTGACTCTAAATTCTGGACTGACTTCCTGGTTTCATTTATGAACCAGAACTTTGTTTGCATCCCTGACTTTCTGACTTGACTCTGAATTCGTTTTGTACTCTTGATTTCCTGCTTGTTATTGCATCAACTCTGTTGAATGAACTCCTAGCATGTGAGTATTAGACTGTTACCTTGGCTTTTGTTTATTCTTGCTCCCGACCTGGATCTATAGTATTCGAGTTGTCTGCATTAATTGGACTCTTGACCTTGACTTTGGTTCATTGTTCCTCCGACTGTGTTGCTGCAATTGTATTATTTTAATCGGTCTCAAGATTTTAGCTTTCTTATAAGTACATATTGTCTTTTTTTTTACATATCTTGGGAAGTCTGACTTGGCCACGGTGGTACACGCTTGGTCACATCCCGCCTCGACTACTGCAACGCTCTCTACGTGGGGCTGCCCTTGAAGACGGCCCGGAAGCTGCAGCTAGTCCAGCGCGCGGCAGCCATGTTACTAACGGGAGCGGGACGCAGGGAGCACACAACGCCCTTGTTGTCCCAGCTCCACTGGCTGCCGATTTGCTACCGGGCCCAATTCAAGGTGCTGGTACTGGCCTACAAAGCCCTAAACGGTTCCGGCCCAAAATACCTGTCTGACCGCATCTCGGCCTATGAGCCCACGAGGACCTTGAGATCATCCGGGGAGGCCCTTCTCTCGATCCCGCCTGCCTCACAGGCACGTCTGGCGGGGACGAGAGAGCGGGCCTTCTCGGTGGTGGCCCCCCGGCTGTGGAACACCCTCCCTGCTGAAGTTAGACAGGCACCCTCCCTTATGGCCTTTCGTAAGGGCCTGAAAACTTGGCTCTTCGAGTTGGCCTTCAACTGAGTGTTATATCTTGGTAATGATGACCAGAATGGACCACGACTATGAGACTGACTATGCCCCATGATATGACGAAGCGGATTTTTAGTATAAGTATATGTTTAGTAGTAGTAGCATGTGTTGTATTGTTCTGATGACTGTAAACTGTCTTTTCTATGTTGTTGTTCACCGCCACGAGTCGCCCCCTGGGCTGAGAGTGGCGGTAAATAAGTGCAAGTAATAAATAAATAAATAAATATCTTTATTGAGGTTTTCTTATTTACATCTTAAAAACAGATCGAAAGGATAGAAAAAGAAAATAGTAAATATGGGGGGTTGGAGACTAAGTTGGGAAAATGGTAAGGTGGGTCGATGGGGGGAGGGAAAAGGGGGTGCGAGTTGAAGGTTTACCGGGGGGGGGTAAGTAGAGGGGGGGCAAAGGAATGGGTAAGAGTGGATTGTGAATTATGGGTTGCTTACCTGTAACCGTAGTTTCCTGAGTAGTCACCTGCGAATTCACACATATGGTATTTCCTGTGCCTATGCAGGCCAGCTTCGGGACCTTCTAGAATTCCAAAGAAACATTTTTGCTCCCCTGGTCCCGCCCCCCCCCCCTCCTCGAGTATATAAGGCCCGTGGGCGGGACCAGCCACCAATTCTCTTCCGCCGATAAGCAGCTAGAAGAAGTGGCATGATACTCGAGGGGAGGAAGGGTGGGGATGTGTGAATTCGCAGGTGACTACTCAGGAAACTACGGTTACAGGTAAGCAACCCATAATTTCCTGTCGTAGTCAACTGCGAATCACACATATGGTAGATTGACGAGCTTCAAGTTAGGATGGAGGGCATCATGCCACTGCCGAGAACAAAACAGCCCTACCAAACTGGGCTTCCCGTCTTGACCTTGTGTCAAGTTTGTAGTGAGAGATAAAAGTATCCGGGGAGGCCCAAGTGGCAGCTCGACAAATCTCATCTAAAGGAACACCCTTCATAAAGGCCGCAGAAGCAGCCACAGCCCTTGTAGAATGCCCACATAGTTGTTGGGGAAGTTCTCTTCCTGCTAAACGATAACACGCACGTATCGTGGAAACAATCCAACCCGAGAACCGTTGGGATGTGACCGGCAGTCCTCTGACGTCTTTTTTATATTTGAGAAACAACCTTGGAGATTTTCTAAACTCCTCTGTCCTGCGGACGTAAAAGGCCAAGGCTCTCCGAACATCTAATGAATGGAGGTTCCTTTCCAATGGGGTTTCCGGATTTTGAAAGAAAGCCGGCAAGATAAGCTCCTGTGAACTATGAAACCTAGAGGCCACTTTAGGTAAAAACGCTAGGTCAGTTCGCAAAACTACCTTGTCTTTGTGAAATTTCAGGTATGGAGGATCAACTCTGAGTGCGCACAGCTCACTAGCCCTCCTAGCCGAAGTAATGGCCACTAAAAATGCGACTTTCCAAGTGAGCGACGCCAAATCTATCGTAGCCAATGGCTCAAAGGGAGCCTTCATTAGCGATGACAGAACCAATTCTAGATTCCAGGACGGGGCGATGGGGGCTACCGATGGCTTAGAATTAGCCAAACCTTTCAAGAAGGATTTAACTGTAGGATCCAAGAAACAAGAAGGGTACCCCGCCTTCCTCCTGAAATATGAGATGGCTGCGAGGTAGCACTTAATAGACGAGTTAGATAGCCCTGATTCTGACAATGACAAGAGAAACTCGAGAATTAAGGGAGTAGAAAGAGACTCAGGGTGGGCGCCCTTAGAATTAACGAACTTGGTAAATCGCGCCCATTTAAACATGTATGAGCGTTTAGTAGAGGGCCTATGTGCCGCCTCGATGATAGCTAGCACTGATCGTGAGAAACCCGGGCCATGTCCTATTGTCTCGGACGGACCAACCACGCTGTTAGTCTCAAACTCTGAGCATCCGGGTATAGAACTTGTCCCTGTTGGGACGTCAATAGGTCTCGTCTGTCCCTGAGTCTCACAAAGGTCCTTCCTGACAAATGTAGCAGTGGAGCAAACCATGGTTGACGAGGCCACCATGGGGTTATCAGGATGCAGTGAGCCCTGTCCGCTTGTATCTTTGCCACAACCCTCAACAATAAGGGGAAGGGGGGAAACGCATACACCAGTGGACCCTCCCAACTCATGAGGAACGCATCTCCGAGACAACCTTTCTCTGGAAGGGGTTGAGTTCTCGAGCAGAATCTGTTGCACTTCTTGTTGTCCTCAGTTGCAAACAAATCTAGTTCTGGATAGCCCCACACCCGAAAGATCTTGGCCACCTCTTCCGGGTTCAACGACCAGTCGTGGTGACCCATGGGATTTCTGCTTAGAGCGTCCGCCAGGGAGTTCTGCACCCCGGGGAGGTGCACCGCTAATAGAAACGTTCCCCTCTGTATGCACCATTCCCAGATATCGAGTGTGAGGCTCAACAGCTGCTGCGAGTGTGTGCCTCCCTGTTTGTTTATATAATACATTACAGTCATATTGCCTGTCACAATTTGTATTACCGTGTTTCCTATTATGTTTTCGAACGATTTTAGAGCTTTTTGTACTGCCATGAGCTCTAGCACGTTTATGTGTAGTTTTGCCTCGCTTGGAGACCATTTGCCCTGTGCAATAAGGTCCCGCGCATGCGCACCCCATCCCGTGAGGGAAGAGTCCGTTGTAATGATTAATGTAGGGGTCGGGGCCAAAAGGGAAGTCCCGAGCACACCCAATGAGATTGCCTCCACCATCCCAGGGAAGCCCGGACGTGACCCGGTATAACCAATTTGAGACTCAGATTGTCTCTGAGAGGGTCGAAGGCCGAACCAAACCATGCCTGTAGGGGACGCATTCGCAGACGTGAGAAAGAGGTCACCGACGTAGTAGCCGCCATGTGACCCAAGAGGACCTGAATCTGCCTGGCCGTCGAAGTAGGATGATCCACGGCAGCAATAATGAGTTTCTGCAGGTTGGAGAATCGCTCGCCAGGTAGGTATGCCCTTTGCGTAGTCGAATCCAGCTGGGCCCCAATAAACTGGATTTGGCGGGACGGCACCAGGGAGGACTTCTCCATATTGACGATCAATCCTAAAGACTGTAGGAGAGACAGAATAACAGAAATATGCTCCTGTAACTGTCCGTAAGAACGAGAGACAATTAACCAATCGTCTATATATGGATAAATTATAATGCCCAGAGTGCGCATGTAGGCCACCACCACCGCTATGCACTTGGTGAAAACCCTTGGGGCCGTGCTCAATCCAAAGGGGAGCACATTATAACAAAAAGCCCTGTCACCCACCATGAATGTTAAGAACCTACGGTGATGAGGCGCTATAGATAAATGAAAATATGCATCCTTTAAATCGATGGTAGCAAATCACACATCTTTTGCCAACAAGGGTAAGATCGAAGCCAGAGTAACCATACGGAACTTCTTCGGCGAGATTGATTTATTTAAGTTTCTCAGATCCATAATCGCAAGAAAACCTCCACCACGCTTTTCAACAACAAAGTAACATGAGAAAAAACACATGTAGAACATGGATGGCAATACAGGAGAAACGGCTCCTTTTTCCAACAGGGACGTAACTTCTTGTAAAAGAACCGGGGAAGGGGGGGTGGCCTCAATCCTGCCCGTGGCTGGGGTCTCAAAGAACTCAATGTAATAACCCTGTCTTATTATAGACAGAACCCACCTGTCGGAGGTGATCTGTTCCCAGTTGGCGTAAAAAGATGACAGTCTGTCGCCAAATACTGGGGATGGGTTGGGAGGGTGAGGTGGGCCAGTAACATTAACTCTAACGAGCCCAGTGGCAAGGGATGCGTGGGGAGCAGCTGTGGGATCTGAGACAGTGTTGGAGCCATCAAAGGCGCTTCCGAGAGGCACCTTGTGGTCTGGGCTTATTTTGGTAGGGTTGGAACCTTGGTTTAGAAGAATAGGAGGATCTTTTATTCCCTTGGTATCTGGGCGAGGAAGCATTCTGTCCCCTAAACGGGCCTGAGTAGGAGTTATTAAAGTTCCTACGGTAGCTATTATTCTGTGGTTGCCACCTTGATTTTTGTTGGGTGTAGGGCTGCCAGGTATAGCCAAACTTACCTGCAGCCTGGCGGACCTCTTGTTTTTCTTTCAATGTACCATCTGTCTCGGGGTTGAACAACCCGTCCTCATGAAGAGGGAGGTCCTCCGCAAGAGCCTT